TGGTTCTCTAATGTTTGCTCTTCCAGATTTAAGAAAACTTTCTCTTAAGATATCTATGACTTCACAGAAATATGATAAAATATTCTTTTGTGAACAAACTGAAACATTCAACTTTTCTCCCTACCAGAACCCTTCAAAATTCAGAAGCTCTCAATTAATATTCTTTCTTTCATGGCAATTATGATCATTTCCTAAGTTCTATAAGATTCTGATTTTGTGACAGAATACTGCTGGATATGACCAGACAGCTTTAAGGAACTAAGTTGACTTTATAAAGCAAGAAGCCAAAAGAGCCCCTTGGAAATGTTGGCCTGATACCTTGCTTACAGAGTTCCCAGCAGCCCTACCAGGTGAGTAAAGAATGTCACTTCCTGGCTGGCACAGGAAAACTCAGGATACTTTGGGGACCTCAAGAACAGGAATCTACAGGTATTTCAGGTGTGTCTGATTGCAAGTATTTGGCTTGGCTTCTGGCCTTGAGAGCCTATTAAAATCCAGAGATTCCTTATGAAAAGTTCCAGCAAAGCAAGTTTGAAAGAATCTATATGATTTATCACTATTCTTACTGAGCTTATTTAAATAATTAGGCAAACTTTGTTAGAATTGGACTTGTTTTTCAAATGAATTAGTCTTGATTTGGCCCTTTTGAAAATGAGGGTGATTTTAGAGAGAAAAATAATGTTTCAATAACACATCTTTGTGGATATTAAATTCTAGTCCTGATTATCTTTGAGTGTTTGTTGTTTGCCTAAGCTAGACAACTTGAAGTAAACTTCAGAGAAATTGTCACAATAGCACACGTATAGACAATCCTCATGCTTTTTATTCTGTGGGGATAATAACAGGATCCTGTGGCATATGATTATTTGAACTCAACTCTCACCTTGACCAATTCAATGTGGCCAGGATGACAAAATCACTCCTTAAAAGCTAGAGTGAGTGTTCCCCACTCCATGGGTTTAGACTTGTAGAAGTAGTAGATGGTCCCACTTCCCTTGTCACTGGATAGAGGATGTACTTGGGGGTGCGCATATCCAGACAGGTCTTCTCCCACTTGCCAGAGATTCCTCAGAATTAGGATATTGTTAAGGTTACACATCAGGCAAAGAGGGACTCTTGGTGGTTTTATCCCTTTGCTGTATTTGTCCTAGGAACCACCTCTGTTGATGTAAAACTGCGAGTAGAGGCTTTAAGCCAAGCATACAGTGGCCACCTTTAACCAAATCTGACACTCTGTCACCCACAAATTTGCAAGGTGCCTTTCCAAAACTGAATGGCCCTTGGTGTCTTGACTGCAGGTCACAGAGGAACTTGGGCTCTCATTAAAACAGAGTGCTGTGTATGTTCCAAATTACCTGAAAAATGTAACTGAAGTCATGAAAAAAGTAACTGAAGTCATGAAAAATTTGGGCAAACATATCACAGCTATAGATGCCCTTGCTGTAAGTTTTTTTTAGCAGTTGGGTAAATTCAATACCTTCCAAATGGAAATATACCCTATTAAGCATTACTGTATTTCTTGTTCTCCTTCTCTTTGGTTGTTGTTTGACTTTTTACATTTGTCAAGCCAGAGCTCATGCTATTGGTAATGGCTTGGAGTTGCCCTTACTTTCCCCCTCAGTGCAAATGCCAGAAACAAGATTCTCCCACTCCATAAAAGTCTTCCACTCCAAAATCCCTTTGTCATCCTGATTAGCAGGAAGTAGCTACAGAAGACAGACCTACAGAAGACAGCCCCTAATCCATGGTTACGGAATGAGGAAATCGACAGTGGGGATTTGTAGCAGTCCAGCTGGTCTTACGGCTTAACTTGTTCAAGGTAACACACTCGGTGCTTGCTGACCTAAGGCCCTTGATCTGTCACCAAACTAATTTCCTTTCTTTGAGATTTGCAGGCCACTGACCTTGGGGAAATGAAGGACCAGAAGGTCCCCAGGCCACAGAGGCCAGAAGTCTGTTTGAAGCTGCCGGGGCTTTCTGATCAGCCCAGCAATTTGTTGGCAAAAAGTTTTCCTTTTTTAAGGTTACACACATGACTTAACTGACCTCACTTTGTGCATCTGTAGACCTCGCTCTCCTTTGCAGAAAGAAGAGTCAAGTTTTGATTGGAAAGGAATATGAGCTTTATTCAAGAGGCTGGTCACCTGGGGAGAAGGAAGACTCTTGTCCAAAGGCCAACTCCTGGTTTTCTGCCTCGTGCAGGGATGTGTAAAGGGGTTTGATCGGATAAGGGAGCGCAGTGGGTTGTGACATTTCTTGACCACGTGCAGACTGATGAGGTCAGCTACAGAGTTATCTCAGTGCTCCCAGGTTGTGCCAGGAGTTCTGGTTCCTTGGTACCCAGGGGTGGTTGTGCAGCAGTTCTCTGTTGAATATTGGCCTTTCAGTAGATGGGCAGCTGAACTTGGGTTTTGGTAACCCTCCAGGTGGAGTAGACACATTATAGGCAAAAGGAAGGAACTCCAGTTGCATTTCCTTATCACTGGGACAGGCCCCCAACATGGATTGGGCTCTCTCACAGCTTCCCCATCCCCAGGATGCCCAGGCCACCCCTCGCACCCTCCCAGTCCAGGATTTGGACCTGTGAAAGCACCGAAAGTTGGAAATGATGTAACTTGACTGAAAAATAAACACAGAGGATGACTCCTGTTTCCATAGTTAGTTAGCCTAATTAGGTGTTTATCAGCCTATATATTTAGTGTAATTCTATGTATCCCACTGCATGCAGCACCCACATAGGGTACTCCTGAGTGCCTAGTAGTTTCCAAGATAGATTGAGGATCCAAAACCTCAGTCCTTTCTGGGAGGAAGGAATCCAACCTAAAACAGAGCAAGAAAAAATTACGTGGCAAGGACCACCAGCGATCAACCCGACCCCCACCCCCACCCCCACCAGGTGGCTATTGAGTAGAACAACAGCCACCTGGTGAAGGAGACAATGAACAGTGTCTTAACAACAGTGAAGGAGAATGGCTGAGGAGGCACAGGGCACCGAGCATGTGTCAGTCACCAGGGCGGCTGGCTTCTGTTGTGACAACGGCTGGAGACACGGGACCACAGTGAGTCCCAGGCCTGACGTGCCCAGACCAGGGACCCGGCCAGCAGGAGCTGTGCCAGAGCATGGGGCTCATGGCGAGGGGAGTCAAGCCTGGGTTGGTGGGGCGAGTAGAGACAAAGACCACTGGGGCAGTGGAGCAGGGATGCTGGGAGGACCAGCCTCACTGTGAGGCCACCTGGGCTCCGGGGCTGGCTCAGGCTGGACGCTGGCCTGATTGTTTCTCGAGGGAATTAGTGGAGATTAAAATCGCCTAAAATTGCCTGGCAGGCCTGTAAAGCCACTTTATGTAAAATACCACTGGGGAAAAACAAACATTACATTGTTTGCTGTCTTTTGGATGTTTTCTATTTATTTTGCAAGAATAAAGCTAACAATGAGAGTGGATTGTGATACCCCTCCAATTTTCATGACAAAGCCTCAGGAAGAAAGGAGATTTATTACATTCTTATATACTCTTGCTGATAATGTAGAGGTTTTTTTTTTTTTTTTTTTTTTTGGTCATTAAAATGGCTTTTAAATGGCAGCACCATTAAATGTTTTTTTTCCTTCTCAGCTGAGTTAAGAGCTCTTCTGTGTTGGACCCTGGCTGTCCCTGGAGAGTTAATAACAAAATGAAGCCAAAACACAGCTCTGTGGTCAGAGTCAGGAACCTGTGACTAAAAACTTACTTCCTGCACCCCAGCTGCACGGACCGATTATTTAAATATACCACAAGCACAGCAACTTAAAATCCTTGTGAATTCTGTTTCTTTCCTCCTCGTCATTTAGAAGAGAAACCTTGCAAATATAGGTCCCAAGAGAGCATCACATCTTCCCTGTGATGGAGGGCTGGAAGGAGTTCTGGAGAAATGTGAATTCCTGGCGTGACTAACGGCGGGAGCGGCCTCTTGGCTTTCCTGAACGTGAACCTTCTCCAAGATGCGGGGGACAACACCCCACACTTTATGGAACTGGACAGAGCCAAGTTGTCTCCGGATGGTTCGGGGTATGGATGGGATGAGCCCTTAAGGGTATGTAGCCAGGGGTCCCAAGGCGATGGCTTCCTGATTCCATGCACACGTGAGGTCACTGGAATCCAGAGCCAGGCAGGCAGCGGTCCCTGGAGAGCACCAGGCTGTGGACAAACGTCCGAGTCAGACATGCAGGGGAGGTATCTGGCTCCTCTACTTTGGTGGGGACTGTGTAGACACGGCCATGGGGCCTCCTGCTTTCCCACGCTCCTCTCATCTTGCCAGGAGACCGTGCTGGAGGTAGAGCCCCAGGTCTGGACAGTTGGTCCCATTGGGCTCCAAGGCCACAGGCCAGGCCTTGTGACCATGAGGGACCCACCCCCACTGCTGGAGGAGCACCTGAGAAGACCCTGCGGGGCCTTCCCGCTCTCTAGGGCTTCCCTCGAGGACCATTCCAGCTCCTTCATCATCAAAGGCAGACGCGCTATTCATAAATGTTTTCCTGGCAGGGCTGAAGAAGAGGCAGCAATCAAGTAAAATTGCACATCAGACTTTCTGGGGCCCCTGCCCTCTCTTCCGGGAGACTGCCCACGACGAACCATGTCTGCAGAGGAAAACGTGAGTGTGCGGGCCGCCCTTCCACCTGCCGTGGTCCCAGTGTGGATTGCAGCGAGGAAGGTGGGACAGGTGGCTTCCGCTGGGACCACTGCCCTGCCGGTGTGCTCTTTCACACTCGGCAGAAGTTGTCCTCAGCAGACACCCGTCCTGATTTGGCCCTCAGTCTCCACAACAGGTGACGAGCCTCTTCTAGGCCACGTGGAAAGAGCACATGGCCTTCTCTCCTGGGTTGCTGTGCACCAGGCCACTCTCACCAACAGGTCAGATGGCGGCTACCCGGCCACAGAGGAACTGAGTTCCCACCTTGCTTTCCCTCTTCATTTATTCAGGACTATCTTCATGACTGGTCTCTCATCAGATCAGATTTGGGCTGGGAAACAGGTGTATGGAGTCCAGGGTGACTCAGGAGTCAGTGAGTGCTTGGGCCGCACGGGGCTGGCCGTGGCAGGGAATGTGGTACTTACTGGTCCAGAGACCTAAGGCTTGATGATGCAGCTGATGGTTTCTGCTTCCCAAGCTGTTGGGCTGAACGAGACAAAATGTCCGTGTTTATTTAATACAATTACAGCTGTTACAACTTGTGGGTTTGTAAAACCCCGCATGTAATCATGCGACACCTCTGAACGTCCTACTCAAACTGAGAAACCCAGCGCTCCCATGGAGCTTTGGCGACAACCCTCCCAAGCTGGTGAGAAGTGTCCAGAGGTTAGCAGGTGTTAGGTGAGAATGAAGGGTGGGGAGCGGTGTAAAAGTTGGGGGAGAAGAGAAAAGAACACCCTAGAGCAGTATCTGCTGTCTTTGGCATTCTAGAATTGGCCCTTGTCAGATGTGGCCCCGGTGACCTGAGTGTCACTAACTGTGAACTTGGGTCAGTTTTGTCATCTGTGGAAGACTAGAGGACCCCTAGCCCCTTTCAGTTCTAACCCTCTTACCGCTTCTTCCCCGCAGTGATGCTGGGCCCCCAGCCCTCTCTGGGAGATTGTGGGTGCTCCTGAGGATGGGGGCCTGGAACCACCATCCCCAAGCCAAATGGCCCCTTCCTCTGACCTGAAATGTCTGTGTGTGTGTATGTGCAGACCCTCAGGATCTCTGGGGCCGCCGGTCACATGATGCAGAGTGCCCAGGGAGCCTGCAGCTTGGCCTGTGAGCTGGCAGTTATAAAGTTCCAACCAAGGCCCCCAGAGACCATAGGTATCCTCTTCTGGAGAGGGAACTGTCCAAGAAGATGGCTGAACACCATCTCATGGTTCTTGATCTCCCACCCAAGACGAAGTTCTCAGGCTCAGTGAGGTGGTGACTGGGAGGTTCGTTTGGGGGTGGTTGTTGGTGTCCTGTTGTTGGAGCTCCACGATGGAGCTGGGTCTGATCATAAGTTTGGGGAGGGGGCCTCCCGAGCTCCCCTGGGTAGGTGCCCGGCCCCACCTGGCTCCTGCCTGAAAACCCAAGGGTGAGGCTCAGTGGCTCTTGGGCCCCAGGTGGACTGAAGAGCAGGTACTGCAGAGCTGGGGTAAGGGATGCGAATATTTCCTGACCGCTGTGGGCTGGGGACAGAGCCTTCGGGGAGCTTGGGACTCTACCAGCGGGGCCCCTGCCGGCTCCCATGGGAGCCGTGTGTGTGTGTGTGTGTGAGGCGGGCAGCCAGAAACCAGGGATGGGCAGGGAGGCCGCGGTCAGAATAGAATTGGCTACCACCGCCTGGAAGGCACCACAAGATGGGGCCAGGGAAGTCGCTGAGCTCCCTCAGAGGCCCCGAGCAGGGGTCAGCCCTGTGCAAGGGCAGGAGACCTCAGACTGCAGCTGGGGTCAAGAGAAAGTGCGGTTTCTCTGGTGAGGATGGCAGGGAAGGGGTCACCTGGCCCCAGCCTGTGTTTCTGCCACTCTAGACCCAATCCGGGAGGCCGTGGGGAGAAGGCCCTTCTCTGATGGAGACAGAGGCAAGACCAAGTGGCGTTTCCAGGCCCAGGGAGCAGAGTGGTGCAGTCCCGAGCGTATGGGCCATAGCCGGCCCCGCGGGGCTGGTCCTGCCAAGCACTTTGCTGCTGGTGACCACAGGCCAGGAGAGCTGGAGGCCACCGCGCGTGCCAGGGGAAGGAAGCTCCTGGGGCCTTGCTCGACAAGCTCCAACAACAGCACAGGGGCCCTTTTGCTACCCCAGGCCATGCCCGAGCTGACCTTCCGTCTGTTCCCTGGAGCCCCTGGCCCGTCCCGCCTGCCAGTGACCCTCAGCCGTCCTGGTCCCAGCGAGCACTCGGCCTCCTCTCCTTCTGTCCTGCCTCTGCTCACGATATTCCCGGCCGGAGCAGCTCTTCTCCTTCTGCTCCACCGACCGGGTCCTCCAGGGCCCGCTCAGTCTCCCCTCCTCCGCCCACCTGCCCTTCTGAGCACCTGCTGCGGGGACGCCAGGAAGCACGTCTATCACTTCCTCTTCTGTGCACTACCACACGGTTTAAACCTAGCTTCAAACCGTCCTTGGGACTTCCCCACTCTTACATCCCAAGACCCTTGAAACGGGAAGCAATGTCTTCCCACCGTGTGACAGACACACACAGATGCCCCCGTACGCCAGATGCTGAGCTGGGACCCAGTGACGGAAGAAGAGTCAGACTCGTCCTGGTCCTGCTGGAATTCACCCTTGAACGGGGGAGAGAGGCCGGCTTTGGACCCTGGAAGTGAGGTTCCAGGGGGTAACTAGGCCCCGTGTGCCACAGCTGATTCTGTTCTCAGAGAAGAGATGTGTTCCAGGGCTCTCGGGGAGGATGGGAGATCCTCGGCCAGGCGTGAGGTTGTGCGAGGGCACGCCAGGACCAGGGGCCTACGAGGGCATAAACGCCACTCCCACTCTCGCCCACAAACCCACCCCACCTTTGTCATGAGCAACGTTGTGTTGCCGGCCCCTCACTGTCTAAACCGGGGGCCCAGCGCTGGTCCTGGACCACTTCTTCCTGCTGCTTTCCTGTGGGTAAGAAAGCCCTGGCGATCCTCTGCTCACTTAGCCACCAAATTCATCCTTCCTCCCTCCAGGGTCTCACCCTTGTGCTTCGGACGGCTCCCAGGCCTGCCCGTGCCCATCCCACCCTACACAGGTGGGTCTCAGCCTTGCATGTGAGCTTTGAAAACCCTGAGGGGGGTCCCGCCCTGACCAAGTAAATCAGACGGTCCAGGAGTGGGGCCTCTGACTTAGGTGTTTTTAATAACACTCCCTGGTGTTCCTCACGTGCAGCCAGAGTTGATGGCAAATCCTTGGTGTGGGGTCAGGAATGTGTCCCACGAGCTCCCCAGGGGGCCTAGGCACAGTCCAAGAACCATGCATCCATGCAAGGGTACCTTTGGCACAAGGACTAGGACTAACTCACCTTCGTCACAAAGTGCCTCCTACCTGCAAAAGAAGCTGTTCCTTAGTTTCAGGAGCCTTCTGGTCCCCCTCATTCCTATCAAACTGCAGCTGTATTGAGCCTTCGGGGAGTCACACGGACATCCAGCCATCAGGGAACCCTCTACAGCATCTTGTCCTTCCTGCTCATAGAGAGAACTGCAGGACTGCGTGGGGAGTCTGGTTCCAGGCAGCCAGATTCACCAGCCAGCTGAGAGCCTCAGTCCCTCACTGCAGACTCGGAGCCCACGGTCCTCGGTGGCAGATCCAGAAATTGACACGTGACATGTGTTCTGGGCCTCTGGGATTCCTCTCAATGAGCCGAAGCTTTGAGGGCACAGTCCGGAATCCTTGTCCTCGTCCCTCCCTGCTCTCTTCCTCCTTCTCCTCGTTGTCGCCCTCGAGGGTGACGTCCAGTCTCCGAGCACACTGCGGCCAGGACCTGCTACCTCCACGCCTCCAGGGATCTTCCAGCGATGCTCATGATGGCACCTACTAGGTTATATGGTTTCTGTGTGCATGTGAACTCTTCGAACGTGGGACAACCCGTGTCTGTACCTCTGACATTGAGCCAGGACACGGTGGGAGCCACGTCCAGCCACCTGGCCCTCCAGCCACACGAGCCGCGTCTGCCTACCCCCCCTTCTCTCTGCAGAGGTGGAGGCAGAGTGGCATCCAGGCGCTCTGTTCCAGGGAGACCTGGGTGCCGTGCACACAACTCCCTCACCTCCGGCCGACCCCCGCTGCTCGCGCCCACCTTGGCCTACCTGGCGGACTGAAGCGCCTGACTCTTGCCCGGCTCAGCCTTCAGCTCCTTCTGCCCGGTTTCACCTGCTCATCCTCAGTCCAGGGCTCTTCCTGCGTGGGCTCCTGACGCTGCGTCGTTTCTGCAGTGTGACTTCCCAGGCTGTGCTTTATCAGCAAGCAGACCGATTCCCCCGCAGGAGAGGCGGGGCCCAGCGCCATCTGGCTGGAACGATGAGCCCCACCTCTCGGACCTCACCAGACCACAGGCTTTCATTTTCTTCTCGTTCCTACATCACAATACAGGCCAAAATGTGGCACAATGTTTGCCTTCTTGTTTTTAGTGGGTTCAGTGTGAATACATCTGCAAACAGCAACAGCAAAGAGAATTAGACCTTTCTTCCCGGGGTGGAGGGTTTCAGCTGGGTATGCTTGTGCTGTGCTGACGACCCCCCTACCCCAACCCCATCCAGTGGCTTCTATGTCATGTCAGCTCCAGGCCAGGCTTCCTGTCAGGGCCCCTCCTCACCCAGGACCCATTCTTAGGGTTTTCCCTCTGGTTAGAGGGGAAAGGTCCATGGAGAAACCATGTGACGGCTCTTGACAGTTCTCGAGCACCTGCTGGCCCAGCCCCAGCCTGATGCCACAGGGTGGGGGCAGTTGTCCCTCGGGACAGGCCGGGAAAGACAGGCAGTGAACACTAGGAATAAATACAGCAGTGCAACATAATCTCCCCTCCTGATCACACTGGCTCCTCTCTTCCTTTGACGTGCAAAATAGACTCCACCTTCCCCAAGGGACACCCTCCAAAGTCCCACCAGGCTCCACGTGGAAATCCCAGGGGGCAAGTCAGTACGGGGCAGTGGGAGGACAATATTCCCTGACTAGTTCCTGGGGCTTCTGCTCCTCGGATGTAGTCTCCGTGGCTTTGGGCTGAGCCTTCAGGAGGGAGGAGCAACAGAACGTCGTGAAGAAAGCATTCACTCCAGCACGGGGAGCTTGGCCCCATCTCCGTTCCTCCGTTTGAGGCAGAGCAACCTAACCACGGTTGTGTTCGAAGTGAAATCGTGATCAGGCCGATTTTCCACAAACTATCGCTTCCATAGATCAGTCCATTATTTTACATATTTTCTTTGCTTCTCCAATGATCTGCAGTTAAGGATCATATTTCTTTCTGTCTGCGATCACATTTTTAGTGAAATAAAATAGACATCCAAAATACAAGCCGACTTTCTCAATTATTAGATCCAACAGATATTAAATGACTCTGTTCGCTTTGCTGTGAAAGTCCTAAACCCTTACTGCCAAGTTCTGTGCTCGTGTGGTGCTTGCACCGAGTGTCATGGTTCTAGAGAGAGGTTTGCCTCTCAGAGGGTGTCTGTGTGTGTCTGCACCTGTGTGTAACGTTTAGAATCTTCCACATACGCTTTTTCATGATTAGGAGACTCGGCTCACATCCTGACAAGTTGGACAGGAGAACTGACCCAAATGAGCTGTTTGCACAACACATATTTGCACTGAACCTTCTGTTCAGGCTTTGCTTTATTTCTATCATTAAACCTGATTTATCTTTCTTCTTTGTTGTTTTCGGTTAAAACGATTAGTTTTACGTAGCGCTCGGTTTACTCTCTGGCTTACTAGAGGTGGCGTTCATGTGTGTAACAAGTGTGGGCTTGGGGGGTTTGGTCCCAGTGCCGGGTTGTGAGCGCTACGCCATTCACCACTGATGACATCATCTCCCTGTTTTCGGACTGCTTTGGAAAATACTCGGTTAACTCCACGAAGGCCATGTGGTGCCCAGAGGCAGACTGTGTATTTTCTGCCCACAAACGTCCTGCCCGTGCATGACACTATGGTGACCTCCGGAAAGGTGAAGGCCATCTCGCTGTTTCCCTGGTTTTATGTTACCATATGTCCTTTTTCCTTTCCCTCTTAGTCACCATATTTGTTCCAACAAATATTTTTTGAGTTCTCTCTAGTGCTAGACACATAGTAAGGATGGAGCCAGTTAGACTCTTAAAAAACTTAAGCAAAAAAAAAAAAAAAGGAACTGATCGGAAGACTATTGAGTCACCTGCAACACCACGAGGAGTCTAGAGAGCGTGTTGTGGGAAGGGGAGTGGAGCAAGGGACCAGGTGTGGCCAAAGTCACAATGAGGAGTCACCCAAAGCCACCAGTACCAAGGCCCCATGGGGCTGCTCACTGCCCGACCCCATCGAAGCCACCATGTGCTCCGAGCCCCACCCCTCACCCCGAAATCATATCCAGGCAGAAGATTCTGAGTGGGCAGGCATAGGTCCTGCACCAGCTGCAAGCAGCTGGAGACCCAGCGTTGGGAGGGGAGGCAGCAAGTGGATCTAGAGCAGAGTGGCAGGCTACTAGGACCCGTTGGATGTCTCCTCTCTGGGGGCATCACACTGGGAGGTTAGGAGGGCCGGGCACACCGGGCTTTGTGTGTGCTGGAGGGAGACGGAGCCTCATCCTCCACGACACTGACACCCTGGACTGGAGAGGCTCAGCGGTGGGGCGGGGGTGGGGCTGTCATGGGCGGTGCACGGTGTGGAGGGCATCCCCGGCTTCAGCCTGTAACATGCTCCAAGTGACAGGCATCCCCAAATCAAACCATCTGCACCCAGGATTTTTTTTAGGTTATCCATTCCCCAAATCAAACCATCTGCACCCAGTGACAGGCATCCCCAAATCAAACCATCTGCACCCAGGATTTTGTTAGGTTATCCATTCCCCAAATCAAACCATCTGCACCCAGTGACAGGCATCCCCAAATCAAACCATCTGCACCCAGGATTTTGTTAGGTTATCCATTCCCCAAATCAAACCATCTGCACCCAGTGACAGGCATCCCCAAATCAAACCATCTGCACCCAGGATTTTGTTAGGTTATCCATTCCCGAGTCCACTTCAGAGTGGCCGAGGCCGGCTCTCTGGCATATGAGGTTGGGCGGGTCTTCTGAACCATCCACCCAGATGCTTCTCACACACGGTGAGCCCTGGCTGCCTCAGGAGGATTTGTAAGGGGTGGAGAGGGACTAGATCTGCCTTTCAGAGGCACGGCTGGTCCGCTGGAGGTGTGGCAAGCGGGAGGCCAGGGCAAAGCTGGGGTGGACAGGCCGAGAGCCGGGATGCAGGCAGCCTGGCACACAGAGCAGTGACTGGGGGTGAGGACCGTCTGCAGGGTCAGGCCTCAGAGACCTGTGACTGGTTGTTGCTGCAAGGGAGATGTATCAGATCCGGCTCTCAGATCCAGAGGATGGTGTGACACGGCTCAAGATACGGGACGTAGGGAGGTGAATCTCCGGAGAGGAGACTGGGCAGGTTTGTGGCCTTGTTGGATAGGATGTGGAGTTGGAACAGAGGTCAGGGTGCAGATAGGGACATGGAGCCATCGGCAACCTGGGGCAGCGCGGAAGGAGAGGCTGAGACCCCCGAGGAAGGCGTAGGACAAGAACCAAAGGGCCGCAGAGAGCTTGTAAGACGTAGGCAGCGAAAGAGAGGGAGAGTGGCCATCGGCTGGGGGCCGAGGGACGGGGACCTCGGGCTCACGGGCTCACAGGCTCACGCTCGGCAGGTGATCAATGGCCCTCACAGGAGTGGTTTCGGTGGAAATCAGGTCACAGGGGTGGCAAGGCGATGGGGACAAATGCCATCTTTAGAGAGAATAAGGTGGTTGACAGTGGCCGGGGGCTTGCAGAGGCAAATGAGGATTCTGTCTGCTTCATAGCTTTCTGAGGTGTCCTTGACATGCAACGAGCCGCACATACATAAACCCATGTACTTCGTAAGTCTGGCCTGTGTATCCACCTGTGAAGCCATCACCATATTCAAAATAGTGGATGAGCCCATCCGCCCCCAAATGTCCCTGTCCCTTTGTATATTTCCGCCCCCCCCCCCCCCCCCCGCCCCGGCCTTTTCTGCCTCCTCCCTTTCCTCCTCATCCAGAAGCAACCACTGATCTGTTAGGTTGTGTTTTCTAGACGTCTATGCAGGCGACTCTCCACTATGCGTGCCTTTGGGTCTGTTTCCTTTTCCTCTGCGAGAATCAGCCTTGTGGTAGGTGCAGTGCGTATGCAGAACTTACTCTGCTCTGCTGCTGGGCTCTGTCCCATCGGATGGCTCCACCACACTCCGTGGACGTCGGGGCTGTTTCCAGCTTCGGGCTCTCACAAATGAGGCTGCCATATGCACACCTACACAAGACTGTGTGTGCACATATCATTCGTCTTGGGTAAACCCCTAGGCATGGAAATGGGGTCACTGGTAAACGCATGATTACCTGTTGGAGAAACGGTGAAACTGGCCTCCCAAGTGCTCACGCTGTTTGACGTTCTCACCGTCAGCGGATGGGGCTTTAGCTGCTCCCCATCCTGCCCATGCTCGGTGTGGTCACGTGCTGAATTCGAGCTCTTCCTGCAGGTCCGTGGGAGATCTCACTGGGGTTTTGATTTTCTCCCCTGTAATGATGGATACGGTCGAGCACCATCTTTATCCCAGTACCATCTCTGACGCACTCTCTGTTCTCGTCTTTGCCCATTTTTAAGATTGGTTGTTTGCTAATTATTATTCCCATTCTAGTCTAAAAGGGGCTAAATATTTGATGGAAAAAATAGAACGGATTTAGAGAACACTAGGTTTTGCTGTAGCGTGTGGTTTTCTTAATAAGTTTCTGTGGGGCGCCTGGGTGGCTCAGTCGTTGGGTGTCTGCCTTGGGCTCGGGTCATGATCCCAGGGTCCTGGGATGGAGCCCCGCATCGGGCTCCCTGCTTGGTGGGAAGCCTGCTTCTCCCTCTCCCACTCCCCCTGCTTGTGTTCCCTCTCTCGCTGTGTCTCCCTCTGTCAAATAAATAAATAAATAAGAATTGCTGGGTCCAGGGGTGCCTGGGTGGCTCAGTCGTTAAGTGTCTGCCTTCGGCTTGGGTCACGATCCCGGGGTCCTGGGATGGAGCCCCGCATCGGGCTCCCTGCTCGGCGGGGAGCCTGCTTCTCCCTCTCCCACTCCCCCTGCTTGTTCCCTCTCTCGCTCTGTCTCCCTCTGTCAAATAAATAAATAAAATCTTAAACAAAACAACCAACCAATTTCCTTTACCTTCACCACTTGTGTCCCTAAGCATTTCGGTTGACTTGCCTCGGTGACGGAGAGGTCCGGTGCAGAGAGCCAGCAGAGAGGAAGCGGGGTCTGCACAGAACCCCGAGGCTCCTCCGGGGGCCACACCCGGTCCCCACGCGGTGTCTGCCTCCGCGGCCTTCTCTGGGGTCGAGCAGAGGGCCCGGCGCGTGCCACCTCGTGGGCCTCGTCGCCCATCACCGAGGCGTGGGAGCCCCTCCTGAGTCTGCTGCCCGCTCCCGAAACGGGGCTCAGGCGGTCCCCAGGGGACGGGAGCGTCCGTGTGCTCCGGCCACCCGCCCCTCCAGACAGGAGCCTCACGTAACCGCGCTCGTCTGGAGCGGACCGCATCCCTCGGCCCGGGGTGGCGCGGGGCTGCCAGCGCGGCTGCGGGCCTGGGGGCCCCCGGGCTCGGCGGCCCGGGGCACGGGGGGCTCGCTGGGTCGGGCCGCCCGGCGCAGGCGAGCAGCCAGCCGTCCGCGAAGCTGCCCCCGCCCCACCTGCGTGCCTGCGGGCAGGGCCTCTGCCTCCCGCTTTCCTTCCCGCGCCGCGGCCCCCAGACCCCGCGCGACCCGCGGTAGGAGACACCACACCTGGCCGGCGAGTGTCCGAAGCAAGACGTGTCCTGGAACCGCGCCCCTTGCCTGCCCGCGGGGATCTCTCCCGTGACTCCCGCGTCGCCGAGTACGTCGCCGCGTTTTCTCTCCGCCTGCGGTCAGGGACGCTGGCGTCCCCGCTGACCGACCCTGTGACCCGCCGGCGGCGGGAAGCGTAAGGCGGGGGAGGCCCCCTGCCTCGGCCCGGCCCCCGCCCTGCTCACGCTCCCTCTGAATCGGTCCATAAGTCTTTTTTTTTTAGATTTTATTTATTTATCTGAGAGAGAGAATGGGGGAGAGAGAGAGCAGGAGAGGGGGGAGGGTCAGAGGGAGAAGCAGACCCCCCGCCGAGCAGGGAGCCCGACGCGGGGCTCGATCCAGGGACTCCAGGATCACGACCTGAGCCGAGGGCAGTCGCCTAACCGACTGAGCCACCCAGGCGCCCCCGTCTTCTCACTTTCTTCTTCTTCTTTTTTTTTTTTTTTAAAGACTTGATTTATTTGAGAGAGTGAGAGACAGCACAAGAGGGAAGAGGGCAGAGGGGGAAGCAGACTCCCCGCCGAGCAGGGAGCCCGACGCGGGGCTCGATCCCGGGACTCCAGGATCATGACCCGAGCCGCAGGCAGTCGCCCAACCGACTGAGCCACCCGGGCGCCCAGTCGATAAATCTCTAAAAAGAGTCTGTCTCTAGAAACGCCCTCCAGTTCCCCTTTTTTTGTTTCCAAAGCTGAGCTTATGTAATTTAGACACTTTCTATTTTTACACTTCGGGCTACAAGCCTCTGAGCCGCGGGAAATACGCAGCAGGGCGACTGAGGACGGGCCCACGGCCGCCATATAGCCGCTTGCCGGGGAAAAAACCGCGAAGAAACGCGCTATGGCAAAGGAGCAAACTCGAGGAGCCCCGTTCTGCGCGCTCCTCCTCCTCCGCCGTCCTCCCTCCTCTCGGCCTCTCTCCGCTCCTCCCCGAGGCTGAGTGTGCGACGCGGGCCGCCGGCCATCTTTGCCCGCGTCCCCGCCAGACGGGAGCCTGGACGCCCGGCCGGCCGCGTGTCCGTCTCCGCTTCGGGCTCACGGCCCGGCCCGCGCGGGGCGCCCGTCGGCCGGCGGTCGCGCCTGGCCTCCCGCTGCCGAGGGCGGCGGCAGAGGCGGATGCGACGGACGGACAGTCCGCAGGGACGGACGGACGGACGCCAGGCTCCGGAGACTCGCCCCAAACGAAACAAGAGGCTGCGCCGCGCGGCACGAGCTGCATTCGGGGGCGGCAAACGAAACCGCCAACAACGGCGTCTCCCTTCGGGAGAACAAGCTCCCCGGTGAGTTCGAGCAGCAGCTGCACGGCCCTGACCTCACTTTTCGCGGGGCGGGGGGCGAAGGAGAGGCGCCTTGCCGGGTCCCCGCCCCCCCCGGCCATGCGGGCCGCGGCCACCGGCAGGAAGTGGGCCCGGCGCCCGCCGGAAACGGAGGCAAGGCGCGCCCCCAGCGTGTGTCGTCAGCTTGCGATGGGGGAACGAGGACGCCGGGAAAGGCCGCGCCGGAGGCCCCTGCGGCAGCGGGGCGAGCAGGCGCCGCGGGCTCCGGGCTCGACCGAGTGACGCGCCCCCCACGCGCCGCCCGCGTTCCCCGTGCGCTCGTTGCTCCCTGCCCGCGCTCCCTCTTCTCTCGGTCACACGCGCACACACTCTCACACTCACTCGCACACCCCTCACGCTCTCTCACAGCCACACTCACACACCCCTCATGCTCTCTCACACAGTCACACCTCACACACTCACACACCCTGTCACACACATACACTCACACGCACACTCTCACACTCACTCGCACACCCCTCACGCTCTCACACACAGTCACACCTCACACTCTCACACACCCGGTCACTCACACACGTTCTGATGCACATGTACTCACACACTCTGACACACTCACACATGCACACACACCCCCTCACAAGTCACACCTCACACACTCTCACAACCCTGTCACACACATACACTCACACGCACACTCACACGCACGCACACTCGCACACTCACTCACACACCCCTCACGCTCTCACACACCGTCACACACACACGTTCTCCTGCACATGTACTCACACACTCTGACACACACATGCACACACTCTCACACATACCCCCTCATGCTCTCTCACACAGTCACACCTCACACACTCTCACAACCCTGTCACACACATATACTCACACTCACACGCACACTCTCACACTCACTCGCACACCCCTCACGCTCTCACACACAGTCACACCTCACACACTCTCACAACCCTGTCACACACATATACTCACACTCACACGCACACTCACACGCACACTCTCACACTCACTCGCACACCCCTCACGCTCTCACACACAGTCACACCTCACACACTCTCACAACCCTGTCACACACATATACTCACACTCACACGCACACTCACACGCACACTCTCACACTCACTCGCACACCCCTCACGCTCTCACACACAGTCACACCTCACACACTCTCACAACCCTGTCACACACATATACTCACACGCACACTCACACGCACACTCTCACACTCACTCGCACACCCCTCACGCTCTCACACACAGTCACACCTCACACACTCTCACAACCCTGTCACACACATATACTCACACTCACGCACACTCACACGCACACTCGCACACCCCTCACGCTCTCACACACAGTCACACCTCACACACTCTCACAACCCTGTCACTCACATATACTCACACTCACATGCACACTCACCCACACACTCTCACACTCACACCCTCACGCTCTCTCACACACAGTCACACCTCACACACACACACCCTGTCACTCACACACGTTCTCATGCACATGTACTCACACACTCTGACACACACACGCACACAACCCTCACGTTCTCTCTCACACACATACCCTGTCACTCACACACATATACTCACACTCACACGCACACACACACTCTCACACTCACATACACCCTCACGCTCTCACACAGTCACACCTGACACACACTCACACACCCTGTCACTCACACACGTTCTCATGCACATGTACTCACACATTGACACACTCACACATGCACACACTCTCACACTCACTCACACACACCCTCACGTTCTCTCACACACAGTCACATACTCTCTTACAACCTACAAACTCTCACTCACACCCTCTCTCACTCTCAGACACTTACACTCATATGCTTGTTCTCTCAAACACACTCTCTCACATACACAAACTCTCACACCCTCACTCACTCACTATCACACACTCACGCTCTCACACGTACTTGCACACACACACACACACGGCTGCCATTTCCCTCCCCGAGTTTCGACAGCAGCAGGCTGGCTGGCAGGCTCTGAGTCTGCAGCAGTCTGCAATGTCCTTTGATGCAAAAGTGACCTTGGTGGCATGGTTTCCTCCCGCTGGGCGTGTTGGGCGCTGCAGACAGTGCCGTGCACAGGAAGTTAGCTTTGCAGAGGTTTTGGAGAGTGGAATACTGGCTCACAGCACTGGGTCTCGGGGCTCTGGACTCCGCTGCCACGGAAACCCCCAGGGAGTCTGCAAGCTCGTGGCATTCTGCCAACGCAGAGTCAGAGCCAGGGGCCACCGAAGAGACAGTAGCGAAGTGAGAACTGGAACTCTCTTAGATTGCAGCTTTTGGGACACACACACACGAGTCACACAATTTCCAACATTTCCATGCATAATAGCCACTATTGTAAAAAATGACTCTACTATTCCATGAACTTAGCTCCTAAACCTTAAAATTCATAAATTACATACTCAAATTTTTTTCAAAGATGCTAATTACAGGGGAAAAAGGGATTATTTAGTATTCAGTCACATAGAAAAATAGCATAATACTTAGAATGGTTTTGAAAAAGTCACGGGAGTAAGAGCCTATGGAATATAGTGAATGGTATTGAGATAGTGCTCTGTGGGGACAGAGGGTTGTGGTGAGCGGAGCTTAACGTGTGGACATGTCGAATCACTACCAGTGAACCTGAAACTAATGTAAACATCGTGTGTCCACTACACTCAAATAAAAAGAAAATTTAAACTTAAAAATAAATCAAGTAAAAACTGAGGATAAAAAAAAACAAAACTAGGGGTGCCTGGCGGGCTCAGTCAGTAGAACGTGCGACTCTTGATCTCGGGGTCATGAGTTCGAGCCCCATATTGGGTGTAGAGATTACTTAAAAACATAAAAAGAAATAAAAAAATTTTTAAAAGAATGAAAAAACACTAATAAAAGATTTGTCATATACTAAAGCAGAGAAGACAAAGAAAATTTAACATGATTCTATTTTTTTTCTTTTAATGAAAGACTTGAGGCAGCTCATTGGGCAGTAGCCTTTCCAATAGCCTTGCAGAAGTAAGCAAACAAGCCAATAAAGCAGATCTACAACTAGGCTTCAAAAAAATACTCCTAATACTTTTACTGGGCACCTCGTCACGGAAGACTATTTTCCTGTAAGTAGTGCAGTTGGGATGAAAATCTGAGTGTTGGTTGCCAGGGACAAAACACAGCTCCTGAAGGTAGAAGCTCGTTTCCTCGGCAGAGAACTGCAAGTGCTGTCAGCCGAGGGAGCAGGGCTGAGGCCCGCGGGCCATCAGCCGAGCCGGGCCGCTGTCTGGGTGCCGCTCTCGGGCGACCGGGAGCCTCCCCTGCGGGCCCCGGTGAAACCAGCTGCGGCAGCCCGCACGGAGGGTCAGGGTCTCTGGCGGGTCGTGAACTTGCCCGGGCTGGGTGGCCCAGCAGGCACTGGCTGGGGCCCGACTGCGGAGCGCTGCGTTAAAGGTCGTGTGCGCTAAAGCAGGAGGGTGGGCTGCGTGGGGGAGGCCGGCTGGGAGCTGCTCTCTTTCTCTGGGCTCGGCTCGGGGCGGACCATCACCAAGCACTGGCCGGGAGCCAGGCTGTTCCGGGGGCATGTACTTTGCGCTCTCATCTTTCCTTTGCGCCAGCCGGCCTGTGCCCTCCGTGTTGCTGGGAGCTCAGGATGGTTTGACCACACCCGGCCTGGGCACCTATGTGCACGCTCCCACCCTGGACGAGGTGAAGCTTGGAGCCCAATGACGTTGTGTGGCCTGGACCTGCCTCTCCAGCAGGCACCCCTCCAGCGCACAAGGGTGGTCTTCAACTTAGTGCAAAGAACAACGTCCTGGGCAGGGACCCAGGCCCTGACCTCCCGTGCCCTCACGCTGCGTGGGGGTCTGGCGCCGGCTCCTCTGGGCAGGACCCTGTCCACACTTCAGGGGTTTCCCACGCTGAGACCTTGCACCGGAAGCCTGCAGCCCCCCGGGGGGAGAGTGTGTGCGCTGGTAGGCAGCCCCCCCCTGCAGCACGGCTCAGCCAGGCCTGGACAGAAGCTAGTGTGGAGCGAGCCCATGACAGAAGCCTGACACACAAGGGAGCTGAAGTCTTCAGTTAGCTTCTGCTAATGCCCTAAACCATGCTTCCCAAAGGTAATGCCTGGAAGCCCCCGTCCGCATGGGGACCACAGCAAAGACCCAGAAGCTCTGCAGTTAGTTCATTGTGAAGCGCCCACCGCAGATGCTGAGGCTTTGCTTGCCCACCACGTGGTTAACTTCTGCCAGGTGCCCCAGGGGCGAATCCCCTAACCCGGGCCACGGTCTGTGTCGGAGTGCTGCCCCCCCTCCCCGGGAGCATTCCGAGGGCTGCTTTACCAGACTGGCTCTTCTCGGGGTCTTTCCCTGCTCCCCAGGCTCTCTGCTCAGGTGCTGCTTTCCCTGAGCGGCCCCTGTGCAGGAGCCGGGGGGAGGGTTCAGCAGGGCCGGCCGGCCGTGCCCGAAGCCTGGGAATGGGGCCCCATTACACAAGAGCTCTTCGGTTCTGCGATCCCCCTTCAGGCATCTGCAGCAGCTGCCTGTTCACAGCGCTCTCGTGTGGATGGACTTACGCACTATTCTGTGAGGTTGGGCTCATGCACCCAAGGAGATGACCCCAAACTAAATAACAAAAATAACCCCGGAGCTATGAACTGGAACAGAAAACACAGGGCCTTTCTAGGCTGGGGGCTGTGACCAGGGCCCCAAATCACACACCTGTGCCCTGATGGGGGCTGGAGGAGAACACAGGTGTCAGAGCAGGAGACAGGTGGGCTTGGTGTCCTGAAGCCTCTGCGGGGGGACAGAAGTGAGGTCACATTACCAGCTGAGGGTGTGCGGTCAGCAATCTAAGAGGAGAGAGGACATTCGAACTGGCCTCTGCATAGAGTGGATTTGGGCAGCAGGAGCTCTAGTTTGGCTGGAGACCATTGACCCAGCCGTTGTGATACCCCCGCTGCGCT